CACTGGACCCATGGGACAGCCATCACGGGTGACACAAGCCACTCATGCCACCAGGTCCCAGCTCCACAGCTGGTGGGTGCACCCCATTTTCAAGGGTGGCCCCGGTACTTGCACCGGGGCTTCTCCAGCCGAAGCACCAGCACCAGCAGCACCGGGGTGGGCACGAGCCCTGATGGCCAGTCTGGAGCTACCGCTGGGGCCACCAACTCAACAGTGCGTGATGCTGCCCACGGACACTGGGACGGGCGCTGGGGACACGGGGCCTGGGGCACCTCCCTGAGGTCCACAGGTGTCTCCCATGACATGCTAAGGTCCCCTGCAGGGGCCAAATCCCACCCCGGCCACCAGTTCCCTCTGCAGATGGGGGGATGGAAGAGCCCCTTCCGAGGCAGGAGGTCAGCTGCACAGCCCACCCAGGATGACGTCCCCGTGGGGACGTGCTCCATGTCCCTCTGCGCCCGGGCCACCAGGTCAACCCACGCAGAGGGAGCTGCGATGGGGTTTTGGGGCTGCAAAAAGAGAGACGGGAAGGAGCCACGGACACACGCACTTCACCATACCTCTGTCCGGGCCGTGGCCGCACTGCTGCCCCCGACCGGGCTGCCTGTCCCGGAGAGCGGCTGGCAGGGAGCCCCGGGGTGGGGAGCAGCAGCTCTGCGCTTGCCTGGGGCCAAGGGGTGGAAGGAAAGTCCTCCCGCTGAAGTCCCCCCATCCCAGCACCCAGCAGCCTCCTGCTACGGGCTTTTGTTCTCAATAAATGGGACCAGGCTGGGACCACGGGTCCAGGATCGTGTGGTGGGGCTGGGGCTGGGGCTGCAAGCAGGACCGTAATGGGACAAGGATGGTGCACTGAGGACCAGGACTGCATGGCGGGACCAGGATCATGCATGGGACCGTGACTGTGGTGGGATCAGAACTGTGTGGTGGGACTAGGACCACGTGTAGGACTGAGACAGGGACCATGACGGGACCAGGACCATGTGGTGGGACCAGGAGCATCCATGGGACCGAGACCGAGCGGTGAGACCAGACCGTGTGGTGCAGCTGGGACTAGGGCAAAGTGGTTGGACCAGGACTGCGTGCAGGACCAAAACTAGATGGTGGGACCAGCACCATGCATGGGACCGGGACTAAGTGCTGGGTCTGGGACCATGCAGCGGGACCTGGACCTCGTTCAGGACCAGGACTGTGCGCAGGACCAGACTGAGCGGTGGGCCTGGGGCTATGCGATGGGACAGGGAACTGAGCGGTGGGACCGGGACAGCCTGTAGGACAAGCCCCACACGCGGGGCTGCTGATCGACTGCAGAGAAAATCAAGCAAATCCCCAAAACCCAGCAGCACCAGCTGGGGCCCGTCGGCACCCAGCCCCGGTCTTTAAAGGCCCCCAGGTGCTGGGGCGGGGGCTGCTGCTCACCGGGGATGGGGCTGTGCTGGTGGGTGCTGGTGTGCGGGGCGGTGCTGGGGGTGGCAGGTGAGTGGGGCTGGGACCCCCTGGCTGCTCCCCTTTGTCTCCCCACTGGTTGTGCTGGGGGAGGTGGGCGGTGGCATCCGTGTCTGGGTGCAGGAGGGTGATGGGTGCCCCTTGGTTTTGCCCGGTGCTCCTTCCTGGTACCCTCCTGGACTTGTTGGTGCAGGTCCTCTTGGTGGAGAGGAGCCTTCCTAAAATGACCCTGTGCTCTGGGGATGTGAGGTTGGAGCAAGGGGGCTTGCCAGGAGCCCCCTGTGCCCCCGGGTCCCAGCAGGTGAATAAGGACCTGGTTTGGGAGGGGGAACTAGAGCCACTGGCAGGGTACACGGCTGCTGGTGATGGTCTTCTGTCTCATGAGCAGCTCCTGGTCCCTCCCCAGCCCTGGCAGGGGTCCTGGTGCTGGGGGATGCTCCCAGGTGTGCCTGGTGCTGGCGCGGCTGGGGATGCTTAACCTTGCATTTTGGGAGGGTTGTGGAGCACCCTCTCCTCCCATGCCAGAGCCTGGCCACCAAGACCGGGCAAGGTCCTGGCTGGGGTTGGGGCAGCACCCTGATGTGCTCAAACCCAGCTGAGCTCCTGGGTGCTCTCCCCTCCCTGTGCAGCACTACCTGCCCGCTATGAGTCCTGGGGACCTGGATGTGGGGACCTGGATGTCCTCACTGTGCCTGGGAAATGCTGCTCCAGCTGCTGCACGCTCAGTCCCACTGGTTAAACCCTCCCCTTGCTGCAGGGACCACCATGGCTCCAGCGTCCTCCGGTCACACAGTGGTGGCTTCAGTGGTGTCCTCAGGCATGGGGACAAGGGCTGCAGCCCCAGTGCTTGCTGCTGCCACCCTGCCTGGTGGGGCTCATGCTCACCCCCGCTCCGAGGAGCCCATCGTGAACTTCACCTTGAGGCTCCTGGATGGTGAGTGCTCTGGGTCTTGTGTTGGGTCCCAACTTCGGGGGATGAGGGCACAGGGGATGAGAGCACAGGATGGGCCCAGCCAAGCCCCCGGGGCTTGACCGTCAGCACCCAGCACTTTCTCCTGAGTGGCCTCCGCACTAGGGCCCACCAGGAGAAGGTGGCCACCCCTGCAGGACTGTCCCTCCCAGTCTTGTGGAGGGTGTAGGGCTTTGAATGCTTTGAGATGTTCCCCATCCTGTGCTTGACTCCATGATCAGCTTTTTTGGGGGTCAGCTGCCCCTTGTCAGTCTGATGGGTGACATGGTCCCTCTCGGCTCCATGGAGGGGACCAGGAAGATGCTGTAGCTCTGGAGAGCAGGCAGGGAAGCCAAACCAGGGCGACAAAGCCAGGACAGTTCTTGGCTTCCAGGGACAGGGGATGGGCTCCGAAACTGGGGAGCTGCAGGCAGGCACCTGCCTCACAGGGGTGCAGGCAAAGACACCTAGGGGTGGTGGCCTGGGATGCGTCTGATGTTCTTATCTGTGGTGGGACAGGCTTGGGGATGTCACACTGAGCCCACCCTCCCTTTTCCTTCAGGGGACCCCAGTGCCATGAAGAAGCCGCTGGTGCTCAGCCCCGGCTCTGCCGTCCGCCTGGAGGCCAGGGTTGACTTCAGTCCTGGCATCTCCCTGAAGATCTACGTGGATCAGTGCTACGGGACCAGCTCGGAGCAGCTGGGGGGACGCTCCAGGAGGGTCTTCATGGTGGTGAACAGTCATGGGTCAGTGCCCACGGGGCGGGAGGTGGAGACCGCTGCTCCAAGCACCCTGGGGTCCTTCAAGACATCCCGATGGGAAGAGATGTCCAGGGCCTGGAGACAGCATGGGAATGTCCCTGTGCTCCTCTCCTGCCTCAGGTGCCTGCATGGGCAGAAGCTGGGGAGCATGTCCGTCCAGCACCGGAGAGGGGTGTCTGCCCTCCAGCTCACCATCCCGGCCCCCGTGTTGGAGGATGAGCCTGAGGAAGAGGAGGTGAGGTTGGGGTGATGTCCTTGGTGGTGGGACAGAGGTCCTACTGGGG